GTCTCATATTATTTGTTATAGTTTTATTATTCATTATTTTCACTTGACTCGCATAAATAATTTTGTTCGAAGAACATTTATATGCAGTTGTACTTCGCAGCACTTCACTTGCAATTTGCAATTTCTAGTTCTTAAGTTTATAAGCTAAGTAATAATATTAATAATGTTCGACTTAGTAGATAAATATAGAGAGTATAGTATCTAAATAATATTTTTTATATTGTAGCTATGGGATTTGAGAAAAACAGATAAATCTATGCTTAGTTACCCAACGCATTCTGGACCTTCCTTTGGAATCGCCTGGCACCCAGAGGAAACAAACTGGCTGGCTACATGTGGACGAGATAAAACCATTAAGGTTAGTTGATTCAAAATTCTTAATGATTATGTCAGATAATACACTGTCTGAACAGACTCCAATTAAATGGGGAATGTCTCAGGGCTCAATCATTGGTCCCCTAGCATTCCTCATACTATATGGCCTGTATTGGAACATTAGTAAACCATTTTGACATCCCTAACAGTGGCGTATTTAGAGGGGAATGTAAGGGGCATATGCCCCCCCCCCCTCTATTTTTTGTATATCAGAAAATACCAAGCTAAAGAGTAAAAATCAATCAAATACAACATCTAATTAAAGTGCTAGAGTTGTAAGGAGATTAGCCCATTGCATCGCTCCCACAGGCTCTTCCCTGAGACTCACAGTTCACACATTAGATTAGCCCCTTGCATCCCTCCCACAGGCTCTTCCCTGAGACTCTCAGTTCACACATTTATGCCCCCTCTTTCTTTCAGGGCTGGATCCTCCCCTGCCCAAGTTCAATTTATAAGCAAATGTGGAATAGTTTACTTGGATTCAAACCAACATTATTCAACATCAAACAGCTCATAATTGCCATAGACTCGTTGAAGTGTGCTTATTTGTGTACCCAAGTCATGTAAATGATCTCTAAATGAGTCTATTGAAAACTTTGATTTACCCATTTAGATTTGGAGCTGGGATGGACATAGTAAATACCTAACTCAAGAACATGTGATCAACACTTTTGCACCTGTCTCAAATATCAAGTGGCGAACTCAGCGAAAACATCACATTACAAGCTGCTCTTTAGCAATTGATACTAGTATTTATGTCTGGGATATCCGTCGTCCATTTGTTCCATTAGCGATGTTTGATGAACATAAAGATGTAGTTACAGGTATGGATCTGTTTTTCAGATGTAGCCTAGAATGTTTCACATGGTATTGCGAGATGATGTTTGCCCTACCTGACGTGTTATAAGTACTGAATTCTCAGTACTTTTCTAAATGCTTGCCAAAAGTGATTTTTGTGTGGGAACCGAACCCACAACCTCCAGGTAACTAGCCTGATGTCTTAACCACTTGACCATAGAGCTTGCATTACAAAATTCAAACTTCCAACCACACAATGACGAGGGCCGAGTTGACGTGAGTGTGTTGCGTAAAAATTTGTGAACCATGTATTTGACCTAGTTTGCGCCAAAAAATACACCAGTGAGCCAAGGCAAGGAAATCTGTTTCTACTACATGCATTCATTTTCTTATTTAATTTCTGTTTTGATACTGAATATATTCAATCAATCAGTTAAATCAATTAATCAATTTTCTTTTTCTATGATCTATCCATCCTTTTTTTTGCACTTATCCAAACTTCCATGGAAATCTGCCTAGTAATATGCATGCATAGTGCTTCCATCAAGCAAGCTCATGGACAAGCTCTCGCGTGCTTCTCTGATTCAGACATACCGTACTCGCGCGAATAAGCACCCCGTTTGAATAAGCGCCCCTCTCGAATAACCGCCCCTCCTAACGTGAAAATTTCCCCCGTTTGAATATGTGCCCCTTCTAATTTGAATAAGCTTATCATAAGGTTATTTTCTTAGCAAGTCAATAATCCAATCAATCCTGGGACTGTGTTTGTTGGCATGATTTGAGCTGCAGAATGGAAACACATTCTTCTTAGGTCAATATCAGAATGAGGATATTTCTCTTTTGACAGATAAGAGCTCCGATTCCTGGACAGACACTATATTTCCAAATTTACTCTAGTTTTTACATATTTTTCTATGCCTAGTCCTACTCCTCTTTTTCTTTTTCCGACCTTTAGCACGTTATCTTCTGAGTTTTCAAAAAAAATGATCCCGCCATCCTGCTAATCTCATTTGACCGATGGCCAACAAGCTAACCACTACCCACCACCACTAATTGCACCTGCTATTTTGCTGTTATGTAAATATTCACGCATTCTTGTCATGAGCCAGTTCTCTGGAGGATTTCTTTTCCGCCTAACCACCATTCGTAATGTCCTTTTCATTCAAAAAGCATCTCTTGAATTTAATAATTTCCCATAAGAACCCCTCGATTTTCATCTATTTCCATAAGCGCCCCCTTAGTTTCAACTCTGTTTTCATAAGCGCCCCGTATAAATAAGCGCCCAGTTTGAATAAGCGCCCCTCAGAAAGTGCAAAAAATATTTTAAGCGCCCGGGCGCTTATTCGTGCTAGTACGGTAGTCTAGAGACCTTCAAGTAGGCCTTATCATTTAATTATTTATTAGCAGGGCATTTTACTGGGACTATGAAATATTCCCCGGTGGTAGGTGGCGGGGACTTAGCTGGGGAGGTTCGTTAAAACAATGCCCCGCATTGCTGGGACTTTCACATGCACGTAACCGTTTTGGAAATTACATCCCCGGCTAAGTCCCCGCTAGGTCTGGGGGGCCGGGACTACAATTGAGAAGTGCATAACAGTAAATAAAAATTCATTATGGTGAAAATATTTTTGGTATAATTTAGGAGTATAGTTTGGATAATATGTTTTTTGGGTTTTTTTTTTTTTGGAGGGGTTGGGGAGTGAAGGTGAAAGATGAAGAATATGTGTTTTGGCATTTCAAGAATCATATGTTCTTATTCTTAAAGGACTTGCTTGGAGAGATGACTCGCACACATTTATATCAGGAGGCAAAGACAGCATGTTGATACAGCATGTTTTTAAAGATGGCAAAAAAGCAGAAGAAAATTCAGTGAGTACTGTACCATACAAGTTAAACTTTCTAATATTTGAAAATGGCATAATAAAAAGATATATTAAACTTAAATGAGAAAATGTTAAAAATTGGTTTCTCAGTATGTTTAAGCAAGTTGTTAGCTTGTATTTCAAAATTAGGAAAAAATATTTTCCACTGCTAATCAACAGAATCATTAATACAGTAGAACCCCTATTGAGGAGACACCTTCAGGACCAAAAAAGTGTTTCTTTAATAGGGGTGTCCCAAAGGGGAGGGAGGAGGGAGGAGGGAATTTTCTACTGTACTGTAATAGTGTTCCTATATTATAGTATTTGCATTGACCTTAGTAATTAGTATACCGTAGATCCTTGAATAAGAGCCACTCCAAAATAAGCGGCACACCAAACATGATTTTTTTTTTCTCTAGGCACCGCTCCCAAATAAGCGGCGCAGTGCTTACTCAGGATTATTCTATTTTATTCATGCTTATCTTTATAAACCTTTATTTCCAATGATGTAAGGCCTATAGTATGATAGGCCTACCAAACTATGGGAATATGTGAATAGGTAACATGGGAACGGGCGTGGAAATGCCATGCCAATTTTTTTTTATAAGTGTCGCTCTCGAATAAGTGCTGCTCTCGAATAAGCGCCACTTTCGAATAAGCATCGCACTAAAGCCACGGCGCTTATTCCAGAATTGACAGTAATTGTAGTTAGAAGTATATAAACCAGTTAGAATTGAATTACTTCAATCTGCATCTTATTTGAAGTTCATTTTTTAAATGAAAAATTTAATATTTCAATTTAATTTTTAAGGGTTAACATTTGTTTTTAAGCTGAATGTGTACCTCTAAATCAACGATCCCCTTAGTCAATGCTGGAAGTGGCAGATCATGGTAGACCAAGCCCAAGCGATGGGCCTAGGCCCCTAGAAGGCCTCTCAAAATTCTTTATATTTTTTAATAAAAATCAAATGAACCTTAATCACATGAATCTCTGAATCATTTAAAACTAACTTCATTACATTTTAGACGATTTAATACACTCCACATTGGACTCCGTTGGAGTGGAGTGGAGTTGAATAGCTTGGTGGTTAAGATGCTTGCTTTTCAGTCCTATGGTCCTTTGTTCAATTCCTGTCATAGTAACAGGATTTTTCTCAAGACCAAAAACAACCCCACTCCCTAGCCTCATAAAGAGACTTGGTCTATGTAGAGCATCTTGTGTGTTTGTTTGTCTTGTGACGGGCATTGCCAATTTGAAGGGTGATTAACTTCACTGTTTGGCATATCATTGGCCCTAGTGCCTAAAGCGGAATTTAAAAAATACTTAATTTTCGTTTTTGTATGCACCAGAGTCCAGTAGGCATCGGTATGAACATCTATGGTACCATTTGCCAGGCTGTTTGTAAGCAAGTACTTAAGAAAGACACAGTCTCATCTAGCTACCAGAACACCAGGCGCCCTATGATATTCCGAAGACAAGATGCAGAACCACAAGCCAAAGATTTTGACAGTAAAATACTAGTATATGAAACAATTGATGATAAGGTATTGGAGTGGATTTCTCTTTGATAATATAAAAAAAAAACATAAAATATAAAATGATTAACTCTTACACAATTTAATGCAGTAACAATTGATATAACTTTTAATTATTGTATTTAGTTTCCAGAAATATTTATGAAAACAGCAAAACTTTACAAATTGCGAGGGCTTCCATTTGAGCAGCTTTGTGAGCACAATGCTAATGTCTCCCGTAGCTTAAGCCGTCATCAGGTAACCCAGACATGGCTCATGCTAAAATTGTTTTATATTGAAACATCAAACACAATGAAGAAACCTGTTGAGTCTTTTGCAAAGAGTACAGCAGGGGAGAATCACCTAAAAGGATTGTTTGAAGCTGAGAAAGGTATATTTATATTGTTTAATAGCTTTAATATATTGTTTAATAATATATTGTTTAAATACTTTCTCACTTGCATGGGAAATAATTGTTACTACTGTAGATCCAAATCAATTGTCACAAATTCCTGCTTATTCACATCAACAGTAAATTGCACCTACAGATCGCAGCAATAGTCACGCTACAGATCACAGCAACTGTTTGCACCACAGATCACAGCAACTGCTAACACTACAGAACACAACAACTGCTAACACTACAGATCACAGCAACTGCTAACACTACAGATCACAGCAACTGTTAACACTACAGATCACAGCAACTGCTAACACTAAAGATCACAGCAACTACTAACACTACAGATCACTGCGACTGCTAACACTACAGATCACAGCAACTGCTAAAACTACAGATCACAACAACTGCTAACACTACAGATCACAGCAACTGCTAAAACTACAGATCACAGCAACTGCTAACACTACAGATCACAACAACTGCTAACACTACAGATCACAGCAACTGCTAACACTACAGATCACAGCAACTGCTAATACTACAGATCACAGCAACTGCTAACACTACAGATCACAGCAACTGCTAACACTACAGATCACAGCAACTGCTAACACTACAGATCACTGCAACTGCTAACACTACAGATCACAGCAACTGCTAACACTACAGATCACAGCAACTGCTAAAACTACAGATCTCAACAAGTGCTGACACTACAGATCACAGCAACTGCTGACACTACAGATCACAGCAACTGCTAAAACTACAGATCACAGCAACTGCTAACACTACAGATCACAGCAACTGCTAACACTACAGATCACAGCAACTGCTAACACTACAGATCACAACAACTGCTAACACTACAGATCACAGCAACTGCTAAAACTACAGATCACAACAAGTGCTGACACTACAGATCACACTAACATTATACAGACTCGCAACTGATGTATAAAAAATAAACTTTCTTGCATAGGAACCTGAGTCCACTTCTATTTTTGTATTTACTTTTTATTAACATAATTTTAATTTACCAATTATTTAATAAAATATGCATGTGTTTTTTAACCTAGTCCTGAACAAGCCATCAGATAAAAAGTCATCATTGACAAATGTTACGGGATTAGACTCTACAACGGGTATAACTAGTGATGAATCACAAAGTGACAGCGAGGTTGATCCTAAGTTTGCTGTTGCTGCATGCAACCACAAACAGAATCACCAACAAGGTGGCTATTTCTTCCAAGAGAGTGAGGATGATGAAGAGTATGGTGATATTCAAGGCACCGATGGACCCGATGAATTTGATGAGCTACCATCTGAGGCTTTCCTACCAAGACATGAGCTCATTGACAGGTGTGTGGGTCGAAAAATTGGAGTGTAATTGGGCATAAGATGTGCTAAAACGCAACAGCTTAGTGTGGATGAAAATTTCCCAGGCAAAAAAAATATGGAATGAAATTCTCTAGGCACCAATGACCCAAACCCAAATCTTCCTCATCAGAAATTGTGATATTTGGACAGCTTTGTCCCTCTTAGAATTCCTTACCCATATCCCCTCTCCCATCCAGTTGAACAAATCCTGGTGTCACCAAAACAAATGCTGAACGTTTATTCAAAATTGTAATAAACCCACTGGCACTTAATAGAAAATTGTTTGGTGCCAATCTTATTCAAGAAAATTCCTTATTTGATCATTTATAGTACATTAGCCTCACATCTTTGTTCATATAACGTGTATTTCTTTCAAAAAACTTAATGTTGTCCTCTGCCATTCTAGACCACCTTCACCAACCTTATCAAAGGAGAGGTCTCGTCCAGAATCACCAGTCAGGTAGGTTGAAAATTATTCCTTCAAAACACAATTGATTTTGTCAGTTTTGTTGAACTAGTGACTGAAAAATTTAATTAATATTTAAATTGCGTACTTTGTGTACATTGTGGTAAGTTATTACCTTTCAAATTTATCTTAAATTTATTTTTGCTTATTACCATTAGTGCTGAAGAAGCTGAAGTCTGCAATGCATTTGTTTCCAAGTTACAAGACTCTGTAATTCCATCTTACAAACCAAATTTTTCTGGTCCACAACTCATGGCCAGGTGTCAACCAATTATTGTTGACATGTTGAAATTCTATGCAGAACAGGTAAGAAGTTATTTTTTGATATTTTAATCTAATTAGATATACAGTACTGTATAAATAAAACAAAAATTTGTTAAGAAGTCTTGAATCATGATTGTTCTGATTTGATTTCAGGGAGATGTACAAATGTCAGTATCAGCTCTGATTGTACTTCAAGACAGAATCCGGGGAGAAATAGATGATGAGATGCAGGAACACTGGTTTACTTCTTACATAGGTAACAGCAAATTCATAAAAAAAAAAAAATATTATATCACAACTAAGTAGATCCTTGTCATTTGATTGGTGGATTTAATATGATGTAGCATTGAGTATTTTCGTTATGACCAATATTCTATTTTTGTTTTGCGTCATTCTTATATATTTTACAAGTATTGACTGCATGAGGAGAATGGTGAAATCTATTGCCCCGAGGTGATGTGGAGGTCGTAGCCTCTCTTCCTGACCAGGGCCAATCTCTTTTGTCGTAGAGGTCGCAGTCCCCTCTACCGTCAGAGCGATGGTGGGGCCTAGAGTTTGCACCATGTGACAGGTCAAAATAGTACTATTTTTCAGGGGAATAGTACTTTCTATTGCCCGCTTCCCAATCAGATGCCTAGAATCTATGTAGGAGGTATATAAAACTATAAAACTAATTACTCTTGCTGACGGGTGGGTTGTAACTACGCTAGGCTAATTTTTCTTTGTCGCTCGCGTAGTGTTGCATCTCAGATTTTGGTTGTCTTGGAGAAGAAAAAGTACTATTAAACGATCGTTGACTAGTACTCAAATAACCATTAATAGTCATTTTAAATCAATCTCATGTGACCTGTTTTCAACCAATCAAATTAATATATACAGGTGTTGTATAATACTTTCTATTGCCCACCTCTTAACCAATCAGATGCCCAGAATATATATGTGTATTGTTTTTATATATATGTGTATTGTATTTTTTGTTTGATTCATTGTGTCCCATTGTATGACCTATTTGTTGTAAAAGTATTAATAATTAAAAATGAAAAAAAAAAAAATAATAATTAATCTATTTTTATCCAGACAACAGAAAAGATGGACTGCTCCATTCACATTGGCTTTGTTGAATAGACTATCCATCTTTCAACTCATGACAGTTTTTTAAGGCATATGTAATACAATATCAATTATGCTATTTAATAAGTAATTATATTTGCAACTACTGATCGACTGTCAGGTATACCTGACCTGTTATGACTTTTCAATGTGCTAGTTACGTGAAGGCAAATTAATACATTGGGTATCAAAGTTTTGGTCATTCATTGCAGATCTTCTCCATCGCTTTAAATTGTACACCTGTGCCAATGATATCATCAAACTCTGTAAGTTAGAAAAAGTTGGCAGTATGAACCAGGTGAGTTCAACTTTCACCTCTGTGAATATGTTAATGAGGTGAAAGTTCAAATTTCACTTCATTAACATAATAACTGTATGCATCTAATACAGGATTCAAAACCTTATTCACAAGATAACAAGTTTTAGATCTGGGATTACGTTGTTTTCTTTACTTAATCCGGCATCTCTCTCTTCTGAAGGTTAATCATGTTTTACAGTTTTAAAATCAATATACATGTATACTTCAAGGTACTCGTATTTTCTATAATCAGATTATTGTTGTAAGTTGTTTAAGTTACTTTTGCAATTCAAAGGGCCTTGGATAAAATCCTCTAAAACCTTAGAGGTTGGTTGCTGTATTAAAGCAGTCTTCATGCTTAACTGGCGATTGTCATCACATAGATAATACTCTATAATTATATATGTTATCAATTAGCTGCCTATTTTTTTAGCTTTTTCAGAGGAGGCTATAATTTGGTCTATTGGTTATCAATACAGCTTTCTTCTCGGGCAAAACATGTTGATGAGGATATAGAAAGACCCATAATTTGAAATAACTGACCTACCTATTATTGTAACCTTTGTAGAGAAAAGCCTAAGCTTAAGCCAAAACATCTTATTATTCAATAACTTGGCAACAAATTCATGCAAATGTGTGACAGAGTGTTTGATGTACAGCAATTTATTGCTACATTCATTCCTGTATAATAACATGCTATGGGGTGGTTGTTAGTTGAAACAGGTTTTAGCTGAAACAATGAGTGACTTTGGAGACTCTCTGTGTGGTAAAGCTTGCTATAATACCTAAGATTAATGTAAGAGCATTTTATAGCAGTCTAACAGAGTGTGTCCTAGTACAACTAAAACATTTCTATGCTTCCTAATAGCAGTATTTTAATAGAGCATTGTATATGATCATATCATTTTCAGGTCATTATAAAATGTTAATGACCGAAATATGTTCTTGCTGCTACTTCCATACTGCACAAATAGAATTGAATGTGAATCATCCTGTAATTAACAAGTGTACTTGCCATTCAACCTAAAAAACATTCAAAAAATATTTATTTTCCTCTCCAGCTCTCCACAGTTATCTACACTAAATGTAACCGATGTCAACATGATCTAGAACATTGCGGATGGGCCTGTAGGCACTGTAACCACCAGACAAATACCTGCTCCATTTGGTAAATTCAACAGCTAATCTAGTTAAAGATTCTTTTCTACTTGTTGCTTTTGCTAAATAGTAAATAGTAATTATCTCCTTTGTTTTCTCTAAAGTCGTAAACAATGGTCTGTCACCTACCACAATACCTGTACCTGTTTCTGAGGACTAGCGCTAATGTACCATAGTTTCTCACTGGATTTAATCTTACCCTTATGTTTTTTGTTAAGCACTATCTCAGTGTAAGACTACTTTTAAATTCAGAAGTTTAGAATTAGTTCACTTGAGCGTTAGACCCATTCTCTGAAAATATTCCTGCAATTATAAATATGTATACGGAACTATAATATGCCTAAAGCATTACATTCCAATGTAAATTATACAGCACTGTATCCATAACGATTAATTATCTCCTGCATCGGAGAATAAATAAATACAACAAATATTCTTTCTATTACAGCCATCTACCTGTAAAAGGGTTGTACGCATGGTGTCAGGGTTGCAGTCATGGTGGCCATCTTTCGCACATATCTGATTGGCTGAAGGACAACAAAACATGTCCCACAGGGTGTGGTCACATGTGCGAGTACATCTGAATGAACTGAATTTCAATTATCAATTGAAGCATTCCGGTCTTCAATCAGCCGCTGCTCTTCCATTAACGAGAGCAGTTTAACTCAGTCGGCTAAACTGGTGGTAGCCACTGTGTGCACCGTTGAGATCTCTAGGTCCCCGGTTCAATTCCCATTGCTGCCTTTCCTTGTCTTTCAGCTGGGGGTCTGAAATGCAAGTTAAATGAAATTGCACTATCTTTCGGATGAGATGTTTAAGCCGTTGGTCCCATGTGCATAATTATTAACGCAGAAAACTATTCGAAATAAAGTAGGGGATTGTCTACCGTTGTGCTGCCTATGCACCACCAGAAGGACCCTACTGGAAATAAGTCTTCTCCTGACTTTCGTAGGTTATCATTGGTGTTTACATTGAATAATCCATCCATCCCAACTACTGTACTAGAGTATGGAAGCATCATCATTAGGTCTTCTATCAACTAAGAGAGTATGATTATTTATGTGTCAAAAGCAGCTGTATTGGACCTGTCTCT